TCAGGTCCTATGCATGAGAATTAAATAGGTTAAGAAAGGGAATTGTGCTTTGGCAGATGGTGTGCAAATTGGATCAGCAGGCACGGAATGTAAATCCTGCACAGGCTTGTTCAATGGGAGTTCACACCCACCTCTTCCTTCTCTCCCAGATGCATACCTCATTCCCTTTCCTGGCACTCTCAGGCTTAGTATCCATAGGAACTGGAGGCCAGAACAAGTGTGATAGAGGGAAGATCATAATAATCATATAATTATACTTACAATCTTTGTCACCAAATGTCTGAAGAGTTCTTCTTTCTGTCCATAGGTCTAATAGATGCTAAGCAAAATTAATTTGCTTTGAGGTAAAGTCATGTAAGCAGCAGCAGTAAGCTGCTGATAAATAGCATCATCCAGAGTCAACAATGGATGGTGAACTCAATATTGCATCATAAAACAATGTCTATCTTTAGTCTGTCTGCTGCCTATTACTAGCTTTGGCTGGTGTACACCAGTAACCATACATTGAGATTACAGTAGAATGATATATTTTGTTTTGAAGCTGCAATTGATGAAGAATGCAATTACTTGTTTGCTGAGAAGGGGATCGGTTACATTAGATGTTACTGCTAGTGTTAGAGCAACTGCATAAGTGGCCAATTAATTCCCAACCCAGGTTCATAGTTTTTCTTTGGGCCTGTAAGTATAAAACAACTTGCAGTAGTCTAAATTCCAGATTTTTTGTCCATTGCAGAACTGGGTGATCAAAAAGCTTATGAAAAGAGGTCTTATTGTATGTGCTGTGATTGGCAATGTTCTCTTATGGTTACTGATAGGGAACCTCTCTAGGATGTTACCTGCTGTCTGGAATACTCTTTCCCCTGAAATCCATGAGAACTTACTATACAGGTAGTCCTTGGCTTATGACCAATTGAGCCCAAAATTTCTATTGCTAAGTAAGTCATTTGTTAAGTGAATTTTGCCCCATTTTACGACCTTACTTGCCACAATTAAGTGAATCACTGCAGTTGTTAAGTCAGTGACACAGTTGTTAAGTAAATCGGACTTTCCCATTGACTCTGCTTGTCCAAAGGTCACAACAGGTAATCACATGACTCCAGGACATTGCAACCGTCATAAATGTGAACCAGTCGCTAAGTGTTTGAATTTTGATCATGTGACCATGGGAATACTGCAATGGTTGTAAGTGTGGAATACTGTCATAAGTCATTTTTAAGTGCCATTGTAACTTTGAATGGTCACTAAACAAACTGTTATAAGTCAAGGACTATCCACCATGCCTTTACTGAAGACTTACCTTTCCACCCAGGCCTTCCTTGTGGGAATGCTATGGATGAATGTTCTTTCTTTTCTATTCATTTTTAAGTACTGCAATATTGTTGCCTTAATAATTTTTGATATTTGAAGGTCACTCTAAGTCATTACACCAGAAGCAGCGTAAAATAAAATGTTCCTTATTCACAACATAACTGTGCAAGTGGCACAGCATCAGAAATATTAATTTATTCCTTCATACACAGCAAGGAAGAGCAAGCAATTACAAATTGTAACCACTGTTGTCAGTTAGCAGAACAGGTTCCTCTTCCTCTCTGTATTATCCCAAGTATACACAAATGTGTTCCAGGTGAATTAAGAAGATACCTGGGTCATGCAAGGAGGAAGGAAGCCCTTTTTTTAGTCCTGTTGCACAAATGGATATCCATACCCATAATGTTAGGTGTAGCCTGGCTTACTTTACCCACAATGGCTCTTGGATTCTCATATATCAGTGAGGTTGTTGGCATCCACATTAGCTCTCTGTCTCCAGAAAGGACACACAAACATTTTCAGACTAAGGAGAAGCAGATTAAAACCACAATCTGTCTTTCCGATAATATTTATCTCAAATCAGTGTGGTTGCATAGTAGCCCAATCAAATGGAAAATGCTATGAGTCATCATGGAATTTATACACTATTTCTTCATCCTTGGCATTTATGACTTTATTTGTTTTTTAAGGAGGGTGTGGTGCCAGACACACCTGAACTGATTTCCCTTTCTAAAAACAAATATTAAACAGAGGTGCTACTGCACCACAGGAAATAACTTCAATAGCACTTAGTCTTGTATACCACTTCATAGTGCGCCTACAGCACTCTCTGAGCAGTTTACAAATGCCAGCATATGGTCTTCATTTTACCAACCTCAGAAGAATGGAAGGCTGAGCCAAACTCGAGCCGGTCTGGATTAAACTCCTGGCAGTGGGCAGAGTCAGCCTGCAGTACTGCATTCTAACCACTGCACCACATTAGTAGTATTTATAATATGTATATATAATATGAACATGTGGGTTTGATGTTTGACTTTGACTTACAGAAGTTTTTATAGCAAGTCATAAAAACACAGGAAGCATAAAGTCTATGCATTTCCGTTCATGAAAACCAACCAGGAAAATCACTACCAACAGAATACTTACTTGATAAATTATACAGCTCTTTCACATTTTTTGCAATGAAGTAGGGATGTATTCATAACTAGGGCTAAAGATTTTCTTTGAACTGCACTTTCCTTCTCTTCCAAATGATAAGTGTGTATCAATAAGAAGACAGATAATGTCAAGATATATACCAAAAAACTTGATTTATTAAATCACTTGGATGAGGTTTGTGCTTATCCACTTTTCTAGCCAACCACAATTCCAGGAAGGTGACTAAGCAAGATGACAAACAATTGCTGTGTTACTCTTTCTTCATTGTTAGCATGTAGATACAGGCTTGTAACTTGCCTAATAGCCAAGAGCAACTAGAATTCCATGCAAGTGAGAAAGCAAACTGTCTAAGATTTCATAGATTGCTTTATCCCTCCTTTGCAATTACAAGCATAAAAAATTAAATTCCTAACTTTTGAAGTAATAAAAAACAAGCTCAGAAGTGTAAATTTTTGTGGGTGTATTTATATATACTGGATTCACATATTGTGTTATCCATAGTTCATCAATCAATGCACAATTGGTTGGCTTAATACTATGTTATATAAGCCTCATGTCATATAAACCTCAAGTGGTTTTCATACCACTACACTGGCTTCACATAATATAGTAAATTGGAAAAAATGATTTGTCATGTTGACTGATTTAAATCATATTTCTGTCAATCTGTTCAAAATATCTTGTTTATCTAGTCATTTTAGCCCAGTGTATTGTACAAGTCCAGTTTCTGTTGGCAATTCAGAAACAGACAGAATTCAGTAAACCAAAGTTAATCATAGAATACAGATAACAAATATAATCATTATCTTACACTGATCACATACATTTTAGTTATGAAGCCAATTAATTTCAGTTAATTCACTAAATCATATTTAAGAAAACCATATTTAGACACCATGTACAAAGTTAGCCATGTCCTGTTATAATCTTGTCCATGTATTAAATCCATGATTTTGGCAGTAGTAATGAAAGTTTGATTAAAGGAGTACCCAACTAGCCTCTCATATTCTTAAAGTTAAAAGGGAATTGATTTACAATAGATCATTCATCTATATAACATAGTATTCTCTGCAATGTTTGCACAGGTTCCCCAAGTTTATGTTCAAGGGTCCTTTTTAGCCCCAGGTGACATTCTGCCTTTAGTATGTATACTGCTCCGCAGGTTACAATGCTTGCTTGTAATGTCATTCAGAAATAAAATTAAATAAACAATCATCCCATTTTCCAATCTGCTTTTTCATATTAAATGAGCACCTCCATTCAAGAAGTACAAAATAGATAAGTACTTGGGCTGAGGATTTCTGAACATCAGAAATTTTTCTTCACAAGAGCAAGAGTATGAAAGCAAAATTATTTCTATTAAGGCTGTGCAAAACCTTTGAAAAGAGCAATTTACAATTTTTATTGAGCCTATACAAAGATCCTCCTCCAAAGTTTAGGCATGTCCTGCAGAAGGTTCCCACTTGCCCCTGTTTGGATATATCAGAGGCACCACTTCCAATGGACCAGAATTGGTTCACTTGTTTTAGGTTTCACCAATTTACCATGTTTCAACATCGTTCTTCTTCCAAAAGCAAATTATTTTTTTCAACTAGTGAAACAGAACAACCAATACATTCTAAACAAGAGGAAACAATTGATACTAATGCCATTAGATGAAGGTTCAGAGTGTAAATTCATACACTTACAATTTTGTGAAATTTATTCATAAAAAATGTATAACCCAGAATGTCTATGGAGATTCTGTCATCCAGGTCATGGTGGTCCCAAAGGTGCTTTTTTCAAGAGGCAACTGTTTCTTCGCTTGAAGACATTTCACTTTCCATCCAAGAAGCTTCTTCAGTTGAACTAAAAAAAAGCTTATTGGATCTTCAAGCAAACTTCTTGGTCTTCACACAAATAACAAAGACCAGTTGCCTTTTGAAAAGCACCTTTGGTATAACCCAGAATGTATTAAACTATGCTCGGTTGTATGTAATGATTTGGCTTCTATATAATGTATATAATTTTAAATGCCTGCATTTGCCCTATCCCTTAAAAAAATTAAGTACATCCCTCACCAATCCAAACTATAGTTTTTAATGTAGCAAAAGAATAAAAAATACATGATTGGAGAATATTCAATTACATGTAGTAATATATTAGCATTTCATTTCCATTCCAGATATATTAAATTTAATATTTAACCTGACTTTACCCACTGTTTTTGTAATGAATCTCTTGGCATGCCTTCAGATACAAGTGGCTCTTAGCTTTGAATAAAATAATATCTATGCTCTGATCTCAAACCAAACAAACAGCAATATAGTTTAGCACAACATCAGTATTCAGATGACAACATTATTTCTTTGCTGGTAAAATCCAGCTGATTATGATCAGAAGCAAGACACCAAGTTAGATTAATCTTATTCATTTTACTTTATTTCAAGTCTATCCTGTGATCTGAAATAAACTTCTAATGAGGCTATGACCATAAACATTTGCCGCATAAAAAATTAAATAAATATATTTTGTGGCATTTAAACGAAGCCTACCTTGCAATGAATAATGTCGATCATCAATCTCTGTAGAAGTTTGTTCTTCAGATACCAATGAAGTTTTAAGAGGTTCCATGCTTTTATGGAGAAGTAATCACTGTACATTCATTTCAGTGGTCAAACTGGAAGACGGAAACCTAGAAGAGAAACCAACATTAATAGCAACCAACTTGACTAGATTTCTCTTGTAAAACTAATGCTTTCTGTAAAAGCCGCTAGCCTTTTTTTTTTTTTTTTAAAGGCAATTTACCTGCTTCTGTTTGCTATGAACAATGTTTGCTTACATTATCTGGAACTGGAACTACTCCTTTCTGAATCATAAATCTATCAGTTAGCTTTCTAGGTTGTACTCCTATTGGCTCACCTCCATTTCTGCAAAGGTCATTGCCAAAAACAAAAGATACATTTCTTGAAAAATCAAAAAAAAAATGTGAAGCATAGATCGGAAAGGGGGAAGATAAATTAGAAAGTCAAACTGACAGCTTCCTGAGATACTTTCAGTTATTGTGTCCAAGAGAGAAGTTTCTTTCATTTCACCCTTAATAAATCTTTTGCAAGATGGGAACCTTTTCTTGCTCAGCAATTATTACAGCAGGTTAGATACAAAAGTAGCTGAACCAACAAAAGATTAAAAGGTAGCTGTGAAAGTAAGTTGCCTGACACAAGATTCTTGTCCTATCTGTATCTTAGCTACCACAGTGTATCCATGCAAATTCCTTTTGCAACAGATTTCATGTTTCAGCCCTGAACTTGGTAACTTGCCTAACTTTTGAATGCTAACACTTTTTAATCAAAAAACCCATATTGAGCTGCTACAGACAATGAAAACTCATCTTAATGAAAGAAAGTTCATGGACTTGATTGCAATAGATCTGTGCTATCAGCTAGTGAAAGATCTAAAAAAGAAACAAACTGTATCTAAAAGTCTAAATAAGAAACAAACAAAAAAACTGGGAGCAAGTATAGGAGCCAAACAAATCTGCCCTTCACTCAACCACAAAAATGGCAGTAAATTTATTTTTTTTTCTACTGAGGTGTAGTAGATATCTAGTCCATACAATTTTGTCATTCTCTACTGTTTTGGATCAAAATTCCTTAGTCCTGAGAAAAACACCTCTTCACTTCTATTTGTTTAAAACTTTAAAAACAAATCTCTCTAACACAGACAATCAACATTTAACCGATGGAATCCTTACTTTGTGATCTAATGGAAAAACAGAAAGGCAAGATGAATACATGGAGGGGAGATCTGTCAGCAGTAATTTGGTGCAACAGAAGTGAAGACTCTGGGATTCAATTCACTCATATTAGTAAGCCAGAATCGGGGTTTGTTTGGTTTATGGCTTAAAAGTGTTATGCAAAGTCAGTCAATTATGGTTTATTTTTGTTCTATGAAAAGACAAAACTTAATACAGTGTGCGAACTTAACCTAAATCTAATCTACACTTTGTTCTAAAACTAAACATTGGGGGGAACTGATAAATCATAATGGTTTCTTTGTGATAGAATGGAAAGTCTCCATAAGGAAACAACTTGTAACTCAATAATCTGGGATTGTGCCCCTTTGAAGAAGCAGAACATGGAAATTTGTTTGTTGGCTGGATTGGATTGGATTGGATTGGATTCAACAGGAGAGCAGTTCTCCATCCTCTACATTACGTTGTTTTACCTTATGTTTGTTTAAATGTTATTGAAACACAGTAATTTCCACACAGGCCTGTTCCATTTAATTCTCCAGAGAGTATTTATTTATGATCTTGCCGTGAATTCTGAATCACTTTGTTTCCTTATATGGCCAGAGTTTTCTATATAAGCAAATGAATACTTCCAGCAATACACTGTTAATTTATAACATAGGTCAGATGAGAGAAAACTTAAGAACGGTACAGGCTTTGTGTAACTAGCTTTCAGTTTTCATTTTAAGTGCTGAACAGAAACATTGATTTTTTAACATCCTGGAGGAATCAGGAACATAAAATTCCTGCAATCACTTCTCGGGTACAAACAGATTTTCTTATTCCATTACCACTCCTAAAACTTATCTATGTATGCAGGATAAACAATTTTTTTTGTTTTTCTGGACTGTACTACATCATTATGTCCCTGGAGAAGGGAGGACCGAACGTCTGAATGCTGAACCACTCACATACGAAAGAGATTATTATAAAACCCTGTTTCTTAACACAATAATAGTCTACATGCAAGAGTTATTTTAATGAAAATACATTTAAACCCTTCATTGTATATTAGCTATATATTAGTAGAGTTCAGGGAAAACAGCAGCACCATGTGATTCTGATAGTTGTATGTTGGAGTTTAATGGACACTAAAACAAAATCACATGGTAAAGCTAACTCCCCCTCCTAACAGTGTATACAAGGGTTTAATAATATGTGCTTAAATCTGAAACATGCCTGTAAAAATTAAGATATTGAATATTTATTTATATTCAAATTAAACAATTTATATGGCAACCCATCTTAAGCAACTCTGAGCAAATTAAACAAGCATAAAACCTGTAAGTTAAAAAGAAATCAGTGCTTACTCACGCAACAAAATTATAATATGGACGAACTTATGCAGAACCAATATTGTGTGAGCCACTGTGTTCTGGACCAGTTGCAACTTTTGTGTGGTCTCCAAGGGCAGCTCCACTTTGCAATAATACAGCTAAGAGGTGACTAAGGCATGAATGACTGTGAGGCTTCCCAGCCCTGGAAAACATGTAATTGGTGCACAAGACAAATCTGTGCAAAGGGCCCTTAGCCACCTGCTCATCAAACAAGAGCCATGAGTTCAGACGAACCTCCAAACACATCCAGAGTCAAAGGAGATAAACCACCAGATGTTGAAGGCCAAAACCCAAAAGCCACTTTATCCTGCTTTCTCTGCCTCCCTAAGATAGATGTCTTCCTTTACCCAACTGATGAGTGCTGATTTCATATCAACAAAAAGAGAACAGAATAAGCACTATATACATATTTGATTCAAAACAGTACCGTAACCATCATGTATCATTGTGCAAATGATACAGATTGCATCAGTTGTACAAACACTTCCTGATATCATTTGCTGTTATTGTTTCCTTCCCATGGTCACCATGTATTAACAGAAAATCCAAGAGTAGTTAAAATATAAATCAATAAGTGTGACTGAGGAGGACCAGCCCAATCAACTTAGTAAGCTTAATGGTTGAATGAAGATTTGAGTCTGGGTTTTGCCTACACTAGAATAAAATTAGAATAGAATAGAGCTGGAAGGGACCTTGGAGGTCTTCCAGTCCAGCCTCCTGCTCAAGCAGGAGATCCTATACCATTTCAGACAAGTGGCTGTCCAGTCTCTTCTTAAAAACCTCCAGTGATGAAGCACCCACGATGTCTGAAGGCAAGCTGTTCCACTGGTTAATGTTAGGAAGTTTCTCCTTAGTTCTAAGTTGCTTCTCTCCTTGATTAGTTTCCATCCATTGTTTCTTGTCCTGCCCTCCGGTGCTTTGGAAACTAATTTGACCTCCACTAGTCTGGAAGAAACATAGCAACCATGACCTGATTATCTATCTTGCATAAAGTATGCCTGCAAAGAAAAGAAAAGTAATTGCAGCACAGTTATTATAATCTGGGAAACTATTTGGTATTAGCCCAGTTTAAAACAAAGAACCTCTCTATTGATAAGAGAAAGCATGGGGTTCGGAGGGAGGCAAATATATTTCTGGAGTGGTAAGTTTGATGGGCAGCTTAACTGAGATTATTCCAGGGAAGGAAAAATCAGTTTAGGAATCAAACATCAAAAGAGCAAGATGTTGATTCCCAAAAGTGAGAAAGCCACATATTCTAGTATGTTTGGCTTGGAAGCCAGCCACCATTATATAAATAGACCCACAGCTGAAATCTCATAGAGGAAAAAGAAAAGGCCCAACTTAGTTTTGTCCTGAAAATAACACATTGAAAAATTTCCATAGCAGGAACTGGAAAATAGCAGCAACAATATTGTATTAATAGTTTGTCTGTTTGTTTATTTTTCTGTCCTTCCATTCCAAACTGCTTTAAGTGATATATAAGAAAAAAGACAATATTTTAAAAACAATACTGCTAAAAACATTCCCCTACCCCACAACCAGGGCTGTTGAATCTTGGGGGCGGGGGGGGGGGGGGAGAAATAGAAGATGTACATATCTTAAAAAAATATCCAGAGTGTAGTGTCTGGAATATGCACAGACACGGAGATTGGATTCTCTAGCTAAAATCACCATTGGCATGAAGACTGCAAGCTTTCTCTAAGCCAAGGCTGTAGCTCAGTGGCACACTACCTTGTTTGAGTGTCTAAATACTAGCAGAAATGGTTATCAATTCATTGAGACACTATTAATTTAGAGGAATCAGGGGGAGTTTGAATCCATTAATGTATTTTCTTCTCTCTTCCAATGAAGTGAAAAATTAAGTACAGGTAGCCCTCGACTGAACAACCACAACTGAGCCCAAAATTTATGTTGCTAAGTGAGACCTTTGTTACATGAGTTTTGACCCATTTTATGATCTTTCTTGCCACACTTTTATAAAGCGAATCACTGCAGTTGTTAAATTAGTAGCACAGTTAAGTGAATCTGGCTTTCCCGTTGACTTTGCTCATAGGAAAGTCTCAACAAGTGATCACATGACCCAGGGACACTGCAACCATCATAGATACGAGTCAGTTGACAGACGTCTGACTTTTGATCACATGGTCATGGGGATGTTGCAATGGTTGTAAGTGTGAAAGATGGTCATAAGTCACTTTTTCAGTGCCTTTGTAACTTTGAACAGTCACTATGCATTCTGTTGTAAGTCAAGGATTACCTGCATTAATATTACAGGAAAAACAGAACAACACATTTTGGAAGATAATATATTGGCAAAACCTTCAAATCACCCAACATTTAAGGCAGAGCTTCTCTGACTGGATCAAACAAGTGTGTTTTCAAACTGTGTGATACCTTCTATGGAGGTTTATTGCACATCTACAGTATATACTACTAAAAGACATAACAATTTTATATGTTGTAACATATAACATGTATTTTATATATGTAACTTAACAATTTTATAAAATTGTATGTGAGGCTCAAGCCCAGAGACAACACAGCAAAATCCAATTGAGTTCAATC